GAGGCATGGAACATATGTACCAAATATGCCAAAGATGTCTACAAAATTATCTCAGTTATTATTAAAAAACTGATTATTTTTGAAAACTTTGCCACCCTGTATCTCAAAAGTTAAGGCGTTTAGGACATACGTCCATAGGACGTTTTTTCCTTCAAATGGGTCTAAGAATTACCTCCTTAAATATTAGCATGTGTTTAAGGAACATCCTGTATAAAAAAATGTGATGTCAACCAAGAAAATTGAAGATTTTGTGTTTGATTATTCGAAAACAATAATGAATCGGTAAGAACAATTTTTGGAAAAGAAAGTTTTTGGCCTTCTACTTCTTGATTCCATTTGTATTCCAAACATTCGTAATGGGATCGAATCAGATATCAGTCACAGGATTTCTACACAATATAATTAATGAAAGAAGTAAAATTTCACTTATATGGAACACTGTCATCCTCACTGCTAGACATCAGATGTTTTGCCTTATCGGCTCTTCAGTAGTAAATAGGTTCATATAAAAGGATTTGTTTAAAAAGTATTTTTCTTTTGTATAATTCAATGTTTATATGAAAATAGCTGTTCCAAAAGTGCTTTTTCTTCTAGTTTTTGCATGAAAGTTACTTCTTTGCATGATCTAAACATCTTTGTATAGAGTTGATTTTTGAAATTGATTGCTTCCTTCCTGTCTTTGTAAGATTTCCACATTTTTTGAATTAAGATGGAGAAGTAGAAGGTCAAAAACTTTGTTTTTATTTTTCAATGCTTTGGATAATTGTGATTTTATTATTCAATATTAATACTATCAATATCAATCACAAATTGATACCTGTACTACCCTGATGTAATATCTGCTGGAGTCTATTTTAAAATAAAATTGTAGGTTATGCTAGTGGCCCTGGTTCTACTTATCAAAATGGTGTTAATCCTCAACCTTTTATGAATGGCGAGAATAGAGGCTTCAATGAATATCACGGACATATGTATGAAAATTCAAATCTTAAACAGAATACACGGACTGCAGAAGACGATTTAGGTTTTGATCCTTTCCAAGAAACACAAAAGGCTTTGGCCGAAATGATAGCAAGTGAACAGAATCATAAAACACAAAGTACAGGTGATATAAAAACCTTTAATATTATTCAACAAATATTTCTGAATTTTGTATATAACTGAATATTATGTAACTTTATTTGATCAAATAAATATTTATTTTTCTGTAGGTCATAGTCAATTGAATGGTTTAGTTCATAATCAAAATAATAGTCATTTACCACCACCACCAGGTTTTGTACAGCAAAATTCTCATATGAACTCATTCGGTAAGTTTTACAAATTCAATAAGATATTTTCTTGGATATTGGTGTCTCTTTGTATTTTAGGTAGCAAAATATTACCTTTCCTGAATATGTCTAGAAGTCCACAACACATGAACATCAGTTCAACATCAAGTAATTGGCCTAGTAGTTTTAATCCTCAGTTACAGCAGCAGCAACAACAGAAAAGTAGGTTTATAAATAACGTTTTACCTTTAATTCAAGTTGACACTTGACAATATGAATTAGAAGGTATCTTTCAAGATGGGAGTTCAAAAGTCAGCACCTAATTTTAGCTTTAAGGCACTATTGACTCCATAATACACATGTCAGAAATTGTAATGAGTTGTGACCCGAGTTTTATTTGGAAAATTAGCTCTGATGTATAATGAATTCAACAACAAAAAAAATCCCACACACCAGAACTGCGATAATCTGTTAGGCGCATTTCATCAACCTAGTTGGCGTTATCAGGGGGTGATTTACACTCAGTATAGACGTTCTGATCATCCTCATGAAATAATGGCAATTATTGTTAAATTTCAAACATATCAACATATCTGTACATTTGCAATATTGACTGATCCAAATTAGGTGCTCACCATTGTTAACTATTATATCAGATGATATTGGAAGTGAGGAATAGTTCAAATTGGTAAACTAGCAGCATTTTTTATGCCCATTGAGAGACAAGTGGATCATGGCTCTTTAAATGGTGCAAGATATATAGAGTTCATGACTAATTTTGAACAATTTCTTGGAAGAACTTGACCTCACAAGTAAAAACAGCTTTTATCTCAAGCAGAACGGAGCAATTCTAAGTGAATAGTGATGCATGATCTTATTCATTCAATGGTTTCAAGTCTCCTGACTTCACCCCACCTCACAATAGAAAATGACGAAAAAATTGCAAGCTATGAATAGTTGTCGAATGACTCCCTAGTTCAAACTTTCAATTGAATGAATGATTGCTACACAATATAGCACGTGAAATTGAAAAAATTTCGCTTACATGGAACATTGTCATACTCAATGGCGGACATCGATGTTTCGGAACAAGATACTTTCCTTATTGCCTCTTCAGCACCAATCTGGATAAAAATGTCTGTTTAAAATTTGTAAATTTGTTTTTCCGTTAACCAGCTGTCGCCCTCCTACGAACGAGAACGTGTGATTCCTAACACGGGTTGGCCGATAGGAAGTGAAAACCGATCTTCCGAGCCTTGCGGCTCAAACCACCGGTTCACACAGTGATCGATTGAGTGAGTGGAGCAAATCATCCACGTCAACCCGACCGGCTACCATCCTACCATAGCATTACAAGATAAAGCCCTCAATTTATTCATGAAAGTACGGCCTAATGTCACAAATGAGTTAAATCTACTCATATCATGGATGACAGTACATTTATTCGCTTATAAACGCGTGTGATCGCTGCTAATCATAAAGTGCTATAGGGCAAAGCGCGGGCTTCAACAGGCTATATATAGGTTGCGCCGCAAGCCCTCCGGGCGGGACCGCCACAACCGCTATGTTCCGGCAATTTATATCTGTAATATCTTCGAAAATATTCATTTAAATTAAAGATCCATATTGATCTATATTGAATGCACAATGTATTTAAAGTACTTGATTGGATGAGGATTAATGCCTTTTCAAGGTGTACAAACTGTAGTACGTTATTTTGCAATGTAAGCACATTCAGCTTCCAGTGCAAACATTTGTTAAGGAATTGAATCAGATATCATCCACAGGGTTTCATCAGTTCGGACTTCCATTGTCTAATATGACATACATTGATTTGAAATCCCTGAAAGAATCTGTAAAAAATTAAAAAGATTAGCTGAAAAAACAATTTTATTAATTACAATAAAATAACATACAAGTAACAACCAAAAAAATTGAACGATTAACACGAGCTGAAAAATTTTAAAAAATATTAACAAGAAATGAAAATTGAAAATATAAAATTGAAAGATTCCAAACCAAGTTACTTCACGACGTTTCGATTGTTAGTATCCACAATCGTCTTCGGTAACTGATAACTGGACTTTTTCCTTTGAGATCTGACTATTTATAGGTCATTTGACTGCTTTCACCTATCCCCTCTTCCCTCACTTCGCTTCATTGGTTTTTAGCGGGAGCTGACCGTTTGACGGGAGTTGGTCGTGTTCCGCTTGATTAGAGGTTTCCATATGTTACGTATCTCTATGCTAGCATTGCTAAATGCGTTGTTGGACAACATATATGCGTCTGCATTTGCTTCTTTGAAAAGGAGCAAATGCAGACGGCAGCTCTTCGTCGGTTGGCACTATGGGTTCGTTTACAAACAAAAGTGTATCATTGTACAGTAATTGACTGGTCAAAAAATAGGAGGGGCGCCACTGGAACTTTTAAAATGTGTATGTCAAAGAGTACTTACTTGGAAAGTTGAGTAACCGAGTAATGACTAAATAGTTGTTATACCCAAAACTATAAGAGACTTTACCATATGATGTTATCAAATTGATGAGTGTTAATCAATAAATAAATAAAACATAGTAAAACATACAAACATTTAATATTAATAAGTCTTCAATGGTTTAGAGCTAAAGTTCCCAGAAATAAAACTTGTAATCCTAATAATAATATTCAATATTAGATACTTAGAGGTTAATTGATAGAAGATGTTTTAGGAAATTAATTTCCCAGCGCATAGTACTTTGTGGTGGTTTACATATATTCGTTGAAAAACATATACTTTAATCTGAGTGTATCTAGATTGAATGTACATTAATAATTGAAAAATTTAAATGGTAGGATTTTATCCTGTATAAAAAATATATATGTAAAACCTGTTCCTCTGGCGACAGCACTTTGAAAACTGGGTACAGAATCACAGACCAACCAGGACTGGAGTGATGAGTGGAGCGATACTATGATAGCTTTATTCTCTCTGGGTGCAATCAAATGTTCATCGGGCTGAACCATGGAGTGTACACTTCGGGCAAGTGAGCCCTATTGGAACCATAATACCAAAAATATCCTTGAAATGTAGACGAGGGGTTGAACCAAAGCTTGGGAGATAACCAACTCCGTGTACAACAACCCTATAAATGTTTTTTTTTTTTTTTTTAGAAACTGGCCTATATTGTCGCTAGCAAGAGAACAATGAAAAGAAAAGTAGGAGAACTCACCTTCCGTGAAGGGTTTTATCTTGTAGCAAAAAGGCGTTGGCGTGGTACAAAGTATTCAAACACCAAATTGTCGTAAATGTTCAATATAGACCTCTATCAAAAGCCAGGACGTTGTGGTTGATAATAAGATGGGTAGAACGAAATATCCACTAAGGATCATTTAACAAATTCAGGATTCGTCAGCCGAACAGAACCAGAAACACCTGTAGGCAGACACCTGTCGTTTTCGCGAAATCTACCATCCTAACTGATCAGAAAATAATTCCTTTTCTTCTTCTTTTCGGAAGATAGGGTACTAGCGTTTTGACCTATCAATATTTGCATGTTCCATGCATAAAGGACCAATCTGAACAGAATAAAATAATGATATGTTTGGTTGTATCTGGTCAGACACCCCCTGAAGCTAAATTGGCTACACTGACGAAAAATGAAACAGTTTACAGTCGAAATATCATCAAACAGCTGACAATTGAAATTAAACAGAAAATACCAACAGAAAATTTCAACTCGAAGACACTTCTTGTGAAACTTATCCGTAACCAAAACATTCGAGATTAGCAATGGGATTTTTAAAAGGTTTCTATGGATGAGGTTAGACAACCAACTTTACTTATCTATGTTAGTTATTTTCACGTTCGCTGAGGGTAATTCACCACGGAGTGAAATCTATGTTGCTCTAAAACTTTTTTATTTATTGATAAAATAAGTAGCGAAAATTTACATGCTACAATGCAATTTTTGGAATCGTGGTCCTCGTTTGGTCGCCTGGTTTTCGTGAGACTGCTACGGATAGTGTTCCCAGATCTGAAGCAGGTTCTGATGTTATACTTGGATCCAATCCTTCTTATCCTTTCCGACAATCCTCTGATGTAGGGAAGTACAAGTATTGCTTGTGGCGGCTTCTCTTCCTTGTGGAGCTCTTGCTGTCTTCTAGCTAAAACCTGTTCCACCATCACTTTGAAGTAACCATTCCGTTGACGGTTATTTTTTATGATACCTAGGTCCCTTTCGAGACCTTCCTTTGTATTGCAGAGACCGAAAGCACGGTCTAGTAGAGTCTTGATGATTCCTCTCTTAGTCGATTGATGGTGGTCGGATTCCTGGTTCAGATACTGTCCCGTGTGAGTGGATTTTAGATATACAGATGTTTTCCATTTAGTGTCGGTTCTCTTCACCATTACGTCTGAGAATGGCAATTCGTTGTGGACTTCCTTCTCCATTGTGAAAGTGATGGAAGGACTTACGTTGTTGATGGGCTTCAGGAAAGTGTCTAGTTCTGCATTCCCATGATTCCATATTATGAAGGTATAGTCCACGTATCTCAACCAGACTAGTGGCTTCTTGTGGGCTTGTTCAATTCCCAGAGTTTCAAACCACTCCGTATATATATATTAGCTATAACTGGTGAAAGTGACGATCCCATTGGCAGTCCCTCATCTTGTGTAAAGAATTCATCCTTCATTTGGAAGTAGCAGTTTTGTAAACAGCATCCTACTTATTCCATGATTACTTGTATCGGTAAGTTTGTTCTATCTTTCAGGTCCCTATCTTCCAATAGCTTCTTCTGTATGATTTGAAGTGCTTCTTCGACAGGAACGTTGGTGTAGAAACTTATCAGTTGATCCTGCTCTTTGACTTCTAGTAGTTCAACAAAATGCCTTGAATTTTTCACAAAAGATGATGTTTTTCCTCGCAATGGTTTAATTATTGGTAGTAAAAATCTGGACAAATTTTGAGTGGCTGAATCTCTGGAGCTAATGATCGCTCTGAGTAGAACATCTTTCTTGTGGATTTTGGGTAGTCCATACAAGTGAGGGGGCTGTGGTGCGATGTTAGCGATGATATCTGTTTTTCCGAAAAATAGACTTAGTGTTTTTTCAAAGTCTGGTACAACTTCCTTTCAATTGATGCAGTAGGGTATCTTACTATCTTCGTGTATTTTCCTTTCTGAAGCTCCTCTTCGATCTTCTGTTCATAGAGATCAGTATCCATCACAACGGTAGCGTTTTCCTT